TGCATGTGCCCCAAACCCAAGACCCTCTAGAAACAGAAGCCTAAATAATTACGACTACTATTTTTGGGGGTTCATTATTCTAATTATAGTATAATTTGCCCACAATCCCGAGTCTAATTATTAAGGCACCTATATTGTATATACATCCTAAACCCTGAAAGCCCTAAACCCTAAACCCTGCATAAATCAAAACCGTAAGCCCCAGACCCTACACCGCAAAAAAAATCCTAATCCCTGAGCCCGAAACCCTAAACCCTATATCAACCCTTCAGATTTGGTGCAGGGTGTGCGTGTTTCCTAACTCCCTGATCCCTTCACGGGGTGTTTGCTCCCATAATGCGTCCCTGTGGGAGGAAGTTAAGGTGTATATAGGGTTCAGGGTTTAAGGTTTCGGGTTTATAGTGTTCAGGGTTTAAGGTTTATAAGGTGTTGGGATGATGGGCTTGCCTACTCGGAAATACCTGCATTGCGGAACCGACCTGTGCTTGTCTATGAACCGTACTCACGGAGGCTGCTTGTGACAGTTGTTGTGTTGTTGTGTTCCATGTAGGTTTTTGGTTCATTGGGTTTAGGGTTTAATTAGGGTTTAGGGATTTATGTGTGTGTGTGTGTGTTTAAGATGTATGCTTTTCCAGGGGCTATAGCACTGGTTTGAGAACGTTCATTAGGTTTTGGTCGGTGTTGCTGGGCATGGTGAAGCACTTTGATCAGGGGCTCTAAGTATTCAAACAGTACCTACTTTGGGGTCAAAAGTCTGTAAATAGTACCTACTTTCGGCTATTTGGAGCCCCAGGGTTTGTTCAAGGGTTTAGGGTTTAGGGTTTAGGGTTTAGGGTTTAGGGTTTAGGGTTTAGGGTTGTAAGTTCTGGGACGTCGGAGTTCGGAAATGTTTTCCATGCCGGGGCTCAGAATTCCATCCCTGTCTGTACGCAGGGAGCTTCGAGCTTCCTGGGAGTTGGCGGGAGGCTTTCAGGTTTTCGTTCGGGCTTTGTTTATAGGATTTAGGGTTGAGGGGTTTGAGATTTTGGGGTTCAGGGGTTTGGGAAACGTCCGCACAGCAGGCGTGTGCCCAGTAACACCAATGCAACCAACAACCTAAAACCCGAAACCCTAATCCCTAACCCTAAACCCTAACCCTAAACCCTCAATCCTAAAAGCCTATACCCTAAAACCCTAAATCCCTAAACCCCTAAACCCTAAACCCTAAACCCTGACTCCGTAAGGCTGCCTTTAAGTACGAGACCCTTTCAGTGACGTCTCAGCGAAAGTACGCTTTCACTTTTCTCGTCGTTTAGCAAGCATGTAAAGTTCTTTCAAGATGCCACCCAACCCCAAAACCCCAAACCCCTGAACCCCTAAACCCTAAACCCCCAAACCTAAACCCTAAACCCCTAAACCCTACGTAAGCCTTAAACCCCGAGCGGCAAACCAAGCCCTGCGCTAAAACCCTATAAACTCTAAGCCCCAAGGCGCCAAACCCCAAACCCCAAACTCAACCCTAAATCCTAAACCCCAAACTAAGCTCAAAACCCCAAGCCCTAAACTAAAACCCCCCTAAACCCTAAACCCTAAACCCCAAACTAAACTCAAAACCCCAAGCCCTGAACTAAAACCCCCCTAAACCCTAAACCCTAAACCCCAAACCCTAAACTGAAACCCCCCTAAACCCTAAACCCGAAACCCCACACCCTATAAAGCCTAAACCCTAAGATCAGCCCTAAGCCGTCAGGAACAGCGACCCTCGCGAAGGCGCTCCAGGGCCCCAATGACCTCCAAAACATCCTCGCGGAAAACTCGGAGCCTAGGAGTCCATGAGTTTTTTTTTATGAGCTTAGGTTTTTGTTGTTTTAATGGGTTTAGAGTTTGTATGGCTTATAAGGTCTATGAGCTTAGGTTTTTTGTTCATGGGTTTAAGGTTTCTAGGGTTTTTAGGGCTTACGGTTTAGTCATGAGTTTCGTGCTCCTTGAAGGGATCTATAGGGTTCGTTATGGCTCCTTCAAGGGATCTATAGGTTTCTTCAGGGCTGCAAAAAAGGGATCTATAGGGTCCTTTCAGGGATCTAGAGTTCTTCAGGGCTCCTAAGAAGGGATCTATATAGGGTTCTTGAGGGCTCCTTTAAGGGATCTTTAGGGTGCTTTCAGGGTTCGGGTCGAGGGTTCCGTTAAGGGATGGCTTAGGGCTTTAAGATCCTCGTGGACAACTCGGAGGCTGGGTCTGTTTCAGTTCAGGAATTCTTTTTTGGGTTTAGGGTTTAGGGTCACGGGTTTTAGGATTCAAGGTCGAGGGTTTCTATAAGGCTTAGGGTTGAGGCGTTTTGGGGGTTCACGGTTTAGTCTGGGGTTTAGGGTCTAGTTTCGGGTCGAGGGTTAGGGTTTTGGGGCTTTGGGTTTCTTTCATCGCACGGCTTATGCATAGGAGATTCCTACCGACCGACGGAGGCTCTGATCCTTGAAGTACTTCGATAAATCCAGAAAGTAGAGCCCTCCATGCTTACCCAGAACCCCCGGAAGGATCTGAAAGGGGAGTTCTCCTAATTTCAGATTCTTTAAGGGGTACTTTAGCGGAACCTCCTGAAGGGAACTACTTTCTAGATCTTTGTTTGGTGGGGGGTCTGGGTCAAGACTCAAACCCTACAACTAGGCCCAGCTACCCTGCAAGACCCTATCCTAACCCTTGTTAAAGTCCCAAGAAGTGTTGACAGTTGAAGTCAACACTGCACATGCATACGAGCGGAAGTACATGTCTGCAAACTTGTTGTAACTTATAGCCTGCAGAGGCAGGCACATGACCAACATACAGATCGATAGAGTCATTGAGCAGCACGCATTCATACATACATGCCACGTCCTTATATTTCTGTAAACCCACATCTCAGACCCTTCGTCGTCCGCTTGAAACTCTCAACCGCACGGCCACAAATCCCCAAGCCTTGCAACCTAGCACGTTTTTCGTGGTCTTTACCAGAATGGACATGAACATGAGGCTCTGACCTTTTTGGCACAAGGGCCCTGCAGTCTAGAAGAGGGTTTACCGAAGCCAAGGAGCATCCTTATCCGTTGGGTTTAGGGTTTCGGGTTTAGGGCACGCCTCACACCTGGAGATGTTCCTCACATCCGAAACCTTAAACCCAGAGCACCAGGGCCTGAACCAGCAAGCAGAAACAGACGAGACAGACTTACTACGAACCCCAAAAATGTCAGTGGGCATGTGGTTTGCGCTTCTACAGTAGTCCCTAGCCTCGAACACGCTGATCAAACGGACACAAACCCCGCCACCATCCGAGGAGGCGATTTCTTTTGCTGGAATTCTGAGAGTCGGAAGCCAAGCGGTTGTTTGAAGATTGATGGGCCTACAGGGTGGGACCATGCCGCTGTTTTGGGGTATCTAGTGTTGTGTGGTTAGGATCTGTTATATCCCAGACCCCCGGAAGGATCTAGAAAGTAGATCCCCTAATTTGGGACCCCACACTACTAAAGGCTCTTTACAGGAACCCCCATTAAGGGATCTACTTTTTGGATCCTTTCGGGGGTCTGGGATAGAGAAGGAGTAGGTACCCGAAAGAAGGGGAGGGGTGGGGGGTGAACCGGATAGGTCTCTGTATAGGGTTTTGTTTATAGGGGTCCAAAAAGGACCCACAAGCGGTATTTGGGTAGTTCTCTAAATTAAGGTCCCTTTTAGGGTCCTTTTCATAAGGGTGCCGTACTATATTGGGGACCTAAAAAAGGGGCCCTAACTTAGAAAACTACACATTTGTGCTGTAGGACAAAAGAAGTATAAGCTATAACTACATCTTCAGGAGGGACTTGTAACCTCGTTCATGCGCGTTGCTACCCATGGGGGTTGACAATGGGTGTTCGGATTGTTGCGCAGAGAGACGCCGGGGTCCTTAGCAAAAGAAATGATCCGGATTCAGGTGATGAAAATGCTGACAAGTCCTGCTTGCCACAGAAACAGGCAGGAGCAACGTGTTGTGCAGCCTTTCTGCGACCATCCCGCAAGATACTCTTTCGTTATATGATGTGACATTTGCAGTTTCTGCGTATGCCCTTTTCTGAAACTTGGTTCCGATTCTGAAGGGTATCCGAGGCTTTATGCTGAGAGATCGAAGACTGCGTCCTTCCCAACATCGCACCTTCATAGCCACACTCCCACGAAACCCTGCCACTCAGCTTGGCTTGGAACAGGAGGCCGACTGCAATCAGCCAAAACGTCGCATCAATACTTGAAAGCCGTTCAGGCTTCAGGGTTTCCCTATACTCCAACCCTAAACTCAAAAGCAAAGTTGGTAGATGAGATCTTTTGTCCACCCAGGCGTTGATCGTTCTCTATGCAGTTTTCGTGATCATGGCCCTTATAGACCTACAAAGGCCGAGTGCAGGGCCGGCTCAGGGTTTATATAGGGTTTAGGGTTTACTGGATCCTCAAACCCTAAACCCTACACCCTGGTTCACGGACTTCTGCACGGAATACACCTTAAATCACACCAGGAATCCTCTGTATACATCCGGAGTCCTCCCTTCACGAAGTGGTGCGGAACTACACTCATGGGATGAGCTTTTGCAGGATTTCATGGATACGACCTTGGCTGGATAGCTAAGCAGATGCTTTAGTTTAGGTTTTGGGCTGTAGGATCCTTAGTGTTTCTTTTCGTTCGGATTCCTCGAAGCTCAGAAGCTCCACAGGCATCCATTTGAGACTTCCTCGGTAAGGAACTCATTACCATAAAGACGGAAGACTCATAGAAGATGCTGAAGGGCTTTTTGCAGCTTGCGGGTTGTGGTTGAATCGTGTAGCGGTATGTCGTAAATCCTTCACAATGCTGCTTGCCCTCTCTTCGACTTTGTAATTGGATCACAAGTCAGCAGCTTTGTCTCGCTTTAGGCCACTATCCTCACTCCCAGCCTGCCAAAACCCTGTGCTCCCAACCCTGAAGGTGCAAGACACCCTAGACCAGACCCGCTGTCCCAACTACAAGTAGTTGATCATGGCCAGTAAATCCATGGAAGCGCTTCGGCGTAGGATCGCTGTGCTGAAGTCGTTTCAGTCTCGTTTGCTGTGGCCTCCAGTCACTCACTTCCAGGCCTTCGGCCAATCTATTGCACTTCCATATCGCCGTACCGAACGTGGCGGCACAGTATTGCCCAAAAACCTGTTGTCCTACCTGGCGGGCTTTTTTGATGGCGACGGGTGTGTTTCATCCTGCGCAGGAGTCTGCACACTCATGATAGGTCAAGCAACGCCCAGACAGGAGGTTTTGTATCTGTACGCAAACACGTTTGGCGGCACAGTCTACGTGCACAATCGGGGCATTGGCTTGCGCCAACCAAGCTTACAATGGGTGATCACAGGTCATGCAGCTCAGATTGCTGCATCACAACTTGCTCCGGAGTGTGTGGTGAAGCATCTTCAGCTACGCGTAGCAGCATCGTGGCCGGCTGAGAAGAGCCTGCGACTTGATGCGCAGCATCGCTTAGCAGCACTTAACCGTCAGTCGCAGCCTGCTGTTGCACATCACGGCTGTTCCTGGGCATACATTGCAGGCTTTTTCGATGCTGAGGGATGCATAAGCTGCTTGCCCCAGCCGAACATGTTAAGATTGTCGGTCACCCAAAAGAGCAAACCTGTGCTATGCTGGATTGACAGCTTTTGGTATGCAGACCTTGGCTTGAGATCATCCTGGTCGGTTCGCCGTTCGAATGCAGTTACTGAAGTTTCAGTTTCACGTCAGTCTGACACTCGCTTGCTGATGCGGAGACTGCTTGACAATGGACTCTTCCTGAAGAAGCCACAGGCATTGCTAGGTCTGAGTCTCGAGGAATCGAATTATGCAGATGTTCGAGATCGAATGGCTCGCCTTTCTGGCAACCAAGGCAGATACCAGACTTTGAGCCAAGAAGGGTGCCAGAGAGCAAGGGAAATTGCTAGAGTCCGTGATCTTGCTCGACACAAACCTCAGCATGACAGGTCTAATGAAGCTGCTCCGTTGCTGGAGCGACTCCAAGGCATGCAGCAAGAGCATGAACGCCTGAATGCGCTGCATGTCTATCGCTCTTTGCGAAGCGATATACGCAGTCTCCTGGCCAAAGGAGCCAGCGTCACCAAGGGCCGGCCCTCGTCGGTCTCAAAACTTGGGGTCCCTTGCTGGCAATCCTTTTATAAGGATCCTACCATCTGGGGTGTGCATTGAGGGTCCGTACTCTTTTAAGTCTCTCATCATCGTTCGCTCTCTTCATGTTGCATGACACGTCTCATTATACTGTTCGAGACTTGGTCGGGTGTCGTCCTTAAGCTTGCTTTGACCCCTACAATGCCTCAGCTGACTACAGAAATCATGTAGCCCCTCAAGCTATCGCCTGTATGGCGCCAGGGTGGTCGCGATATTTGTGGCTTCGCCGGAGGACCTGCCATGGCGGTTAGCGCATAGAGATCTGAAGCTTGAAACGCGACTCCGCAGATACTGAGCATTCGGCAGACCGTGCCCAGGAGGCAGATGAAACGGAGGCCAACAAGACTGGCCCGCTGGAAGGCAAGATGGAGCATGTGTGGAAGAGAACTTCGGGCGAATACCCCTTCCCAGACCCCCGGGAGGATCTAAGAAGTTGATCCTCTAATTTGGGACCCTATACTACTAAAGCGTACTTCATAGCAACCACCATAAGGGATCTACTTTTTGCATCCTCCCGGGGATTCTGGGTTCAAAGTCCCAAGGGATCCCAAAGGTTTGCTGTTGCTTCCTTGGAGGCCGCACTGGCAGGGACTTTTTTTTTTTGGGGGGGGGGGGTACGGGTCAGACCCAGGGTTTAGGGTTTAGGGTTTACGGTTTAGGGTAAGGGTCCAACTTGTGGTGTTGTCAGGATTCTGTGCTTAGTTCAAGATTTAGAAATCGGTTCTCAAGCCTCCAAGGACTTGCGGATTACCAGTGAAGTGTCTTGAGAAACCTGCCAATTCTGGGCTTTTTGTGCCGGAGTTTCAAGCCTGTGATAGAGAAGAGAACGTGAAAGACACAATCCTTCTACATATAATATAGGGGCCTAAATAAGTACTTATACTATTTTTTGGGTTTTGTATTATAGTTATAGTATCATGGGCCCCAAAACCCTATTCTAATTATTAAGGTCCCTACATTACAAGCGGCAGTGCTTGAGGGCGCATTTTTGCCTATGCTGGTACTTGCCTTGCCTGCTTAAGACACTAACTTTTGAAGGTCTGAAGAACCCACCCAATCGCGACCTTTCTCTCACATCACTCAAAAAAGCTCTCTGGGACAAACATAAAACCCAAAACCCTTAGTGTAGGGGCCTGAATAATTACCTAGATTCCTGATTATAAGTGTTGTATAATGGGGCCCAAAACCCTATTCTAGCTGTTAAGGCCCCTGAAGCCCTAAAGTCTAAATCCTGAAACCCCGCAGCTCCCAGCCCTTAAGCCTTAGACACCATAGACCCTACATCTCGAAGCAATGAAACCCTGCAGAAGCCATTCGCAATAGTCAAACACCCATAGCCCCAACCCCCAACCCAGACCCCCACAAGGATCTAGAAAGTAGATCCCCTATTTTGGGACCCGATACCATTAAGGGGTACTGCATAGGAACGTCCTTAAGGGATCACTTTCTAGATCCTCCCGGTGGTCTGGGAAACCGCATCGAACGAAAAATCCAGGCGCTTCCCCGACTGGATCCCCAAGCTCCTCCATGGGGCTGGCTGGGGCACAGTCACCGCAGAGTGTCTCTTGTTCTATGTTTAGGATCCTATCACACCAAAAAAGGAACTACAATGGAGACTATAGGTGAGATCCATGATTGGGGTATTTGGACGGGCTTGAAGACTTTAGCGCTCAGGGTGAAGGAGGTTCGGCGGCCATCCTTACTGGGCCTGTTTGAGCATGTCTTCTGGTGTCCGGGTGCTTGTTAAGGGGTCTAATTTAAGTTACTCTACTACATGAAACCATATAGTTTACTATAGATCCCTATTGTATTAAGTTAATTCATATCCCTTAGTTAACAAGAACCTCGGTGTGCCTGCCGCAGGGATCAGTTGAGGGCTCATTGAAGGCTTCAGGAGGGCCAGGGGTGAGGGTTTAGGAATTTGTGGGTCTCTCTCTCTCTCTCTCTCGCTCTCTCTCTCTCTCTATCTCTCTCTCTCTCTATCTCTCTCTCTGCGGATCATCTATATAGCTTCTATTATTCAGAAGTTTGGGGTTCATGGTTCAGGGATTATACCCTAAAGCTCAGAAACCGGCCCTAAAGCCTCACATTGTATTGTCTTTGGGCCCAAAATAGCCTTAAAAATATGAGTCCCTAGAGCCTTTGCGAAATACAGGTGTCTGAATCAGTAGTGTTCCTTGGCGTGATTATGGTATAGAGCCAGCCCCCACTCAGAAAAGGACTAGTCCAATCTGTCAGTTGTTTAGATTAATCGCCAGTGCTTTCGCACCACCTAAGCGCGACTGCACACACAGGAGTAGTTCTGGACACTGCAGTCAGCAAGACCTTCTCGGAATATGCTGACTGGCCAGCTGGAATAAGTAACGTTCTTGATGCTCCCATGAAGTGTTCGGCCCATGTTGTGTCGTTTCTGTGGGTCATTCTCGACATCTGCAGGGTAGTCTGCCATCATGCTCGGTTCTGTGGCCCCGAAGACCATAATTACCATGTTTTGGGCCTTGGGGTTAGGGTAATATCTTGCAAAAGATCTAACGGCCGCAGCCCTCATTGTCTGTCATCCTTTATAAGCCTTTTGCTGAAGTCCTCCTAATCCCGAAACCCGCAAAAGCGTAAAGCCCCGTACATGCCTTAACTATAGTGTAACAAATGCACCTCCAAAGCAACTATGTGGCTCTCCAATCAATGGTGCAGATCCTTGTTTTTGTTGAAGGAACCCCGCTCGGCGTACGCCTTTTAGACAAACAGTCTCAGGCCCGTTAGTTGAGCGCTGACCATCCGAGGCCTCTTGGTCTGTTTGTGGCGTTGCCTGCCTGATGGCCTACAGGCTCTACACCGGCTTCAGACGCTTGGCCGAGTCGAGCTCGCATTCTGTCGGTCCTGTAGAGTTCCCTACATCGGATATCATGGGTATACCTACCCCTCAGTGTCCATGTACCCAAGCAGTATACACTTCGGCCCCAAAGTACCTATATAGGGACTACTTTACGGCCAAAGTACATACTATTTGAGTACATGGACCCTTAGGGTGCTTGCAGCTTGCAGAGTGCTGAATACAAGAGAAATACCGCCTTTCAGTCCATATGTAGTTAGCATTTGGTCCAAAAGCAGACTCTGTGGCTAGATATTGGTGCCTGCATTTGGTCCAAGAGCAGACTCTGTGGCTAGATATTGGTGCCTGCGGATTAGCGGTATTCGCATTCGCTAGGATTCCCCAACATAGTTATAGCCCAATTGCACCCCAAGACCCACGGCAGGATCCAGAAAGCAGAACCTATCCATCCTCCTCAGAATTATGTACAACTCTCATCATGTATCCCCGTGGCTCTTTGTAGGACCCTTGTAAAGCCTCTTGCAAGGCCCTGGTAGAACCCTAAGCCGCAACCCCTGAACCCAAAAACACCCTAAGCCTTAAGCCTTCCACCGAATATACCCTAGGGCTCAAAATGGCCCAAACAGGCCTTGTATAGCATCGTCTTGGGGCCCAAAAGCCTTAAAATATGAGCCCTTAGAGCCGTAGGGATAGACCTAGCTGCAGAGTTGCACCCCTGAGACACGGCGACGTGGCTCCCCTACCTCCTGGCGCGGGAGGGCGAGGACCTGTGGTACGAGGATCAGGTGCTCTGTTTTCGAACCGTAGACCACTAATCGCGGAGTTCAACCCAGACCTCCGAAGTTTTGGGATGAAGGGTTTAGGGTTTAGGATTTGGAGTTTTTGGATTTTGGGGTTGTGGGTTTGGGGTTCTTGGGTTTAGGGTTTAGGGTCTAGGGTTCGGATAGGTTCCGACTGTTGAGGGCGTTCTAGGGCCTTGGCATCGACCTCTAACTCAACCCAGACCCCCGGAAGGATCTAGAAAGTAGAGCCCCTAAATGGGACCCGATACTACTACGGGCTCTTTATAGGAACCCCTATTAAGGGATCTACTTTTTGGATGTTTCGGGGGTCTGAGAACCCGAAACTCTGAACCCCAAATCCTTGGCAGCTCAATCTCTTGCTGGTGCTGAATAAGGGGGAGTGGGGTCGTGGTTTAGGGCTTAGTGGTCCCGACAAACTGTCTTGATAAGGGGGAGTGGGGTAGTGGTTTAGGGCTTACAGGGTTATAATGGTCCCGATAAAATGTCTTGTAGTCGTCCCTATATTTCCTCCTTCACTCTCCCTCAAGTGCGAGTAGGGTGTGTTGAAGTCGACTGCACTACCGTTCGGGGTTCTTAAAGTAATAAATGTTAGCTACAGCTAGCGTCGACCGAAAAACCCAGGAAGTAGGTACTTATGTAGGAAACCAAACCCTGGCATATGCTACCATCATCATAATTTCGATTTAAGATATAATGCCTCCCCTCACCATCCTACATCCTGCGCCGAGGTGCAGAATCCCTAAAAGCCAACAAGCCTCAAGCCTTACCTGTAGCTCCTCAACCCCCAAAACCCGGGTCGCGCAAGCCCGGCATGGACATCTTGGCTGGTTTGCTGTGTTCAGGCTGCTTTCATGGGCCTCGCAAAGCTCATCTATGGAGCCGCTTGTTGCAGAGTCATGGGCGGCTTATGCAACCTAAACATACCTAAACCCCTAAACCCCTAAACCCAAACCCCCTAAACCATCCCTAAACCCTACCCCTAAGCCCCAGATCAAGGGGTCGCTAGTAGGTTTTCACTTGGCGGGTCTTCACGGTGCTTTGACGTTCCTTTGGACAGTGGTTCAAACTTTAGGATGACGTTCTTCTGCTTTAGGCCCCCAGACCCCGGACGGATCTAGAAAGTAGAACCCCTAATTTGGGACCCTATACTACTAAAGGGTACTCTATAGGAACCCCCCATTAAGGGGATCTACTTTTGTAGATCCTCCCGGGGGTCTGGGCCGCAGTGCCCTGCGATGAAGAGCGCAACCAGAGTCCGAGTTTTGTGGCCCCTGGAGAAGACTTTACACCTAGAAAGGTCCAAGTGGCAAAAATTTAGGGTTTAGGGTGTAGGGTTTAGGGTTTAGGGTTTAGCTGATGGACAAAATCCTGCATGACCTTATACACCTAAACTATGGGATTTATGGTACTCTACGATATTTGGGTCATGCAGAATTTTGTCCATCAACAGTAGGGTTTAGGGTTTAGGGCTTCAGGAGCTCAAGGACGGTCCTCTGGATGACTTTTTGGTACCCGAAACCCTAATGATTGAGTACTTCGACCCTTTTAGGGTTTAGGGTTTAGGGTTTAGGGTTTAGGGTTTAGGGGTTTGGGGTTTAGGGTTTAGGGTTTAGGGTTTAGTCAGGACTCTCGATTACGGTCGGAGAGATGTTCTTCATCTTGAGATGTGCTCTAAGGGTCGGGGTGCTTACAGCTTTCACGTAGGGTTGCAAGTAGCGAAAGATACGATTTAGGGTTTAGGGTTTAGGGTTTAGGGTTTAGGGTTTAGGGTTTAGGGTTTAGGGTACCCTCTGAGCCCGCTGAAAACCTAGTTGCCCCGTCATTTGATTCTTCACGCACGAGGCCGGCAAATCTTGTACTTCGCAATAGCTCCGCTGCTTTGCCAACCCAGATCCAAAAAGTAGATCCCTTAAGGGGAGTTCCTATAAAGAGCCCTTAGTAGTATAGGGTCCCAAATTAGGGGTTCTACTTTCAAGATTGGTTGCGTCCTCAACATAACAGGCCCCACCCGGGGATCTTAATTGTTTCCAGGGTTATACCCTATCAATCACCGGTCACAACGGAGCCTGTCTGGCTCGGCGAAGTGCCTGGGTAGAAGCTATCGCGAGCAAAAACGATGTTGCAATGCAAAACCCCGTTCAACTGTCACAGCTTAAAAGCCACAGCCAATCAGCCAATCCTAATTCCGAAATCTCAATCTTAACGGCCAAAACCACTCAGGTAGTATATGTATATACGGACTGTCAGGGGGATGCTTTCGCTGATGATTCAGGTCTTTGTGTTTCTAAGCCAGCTCAGGGCACGATGCTGCTGAACCCGGTGCTTGGGCATGCAATTTGCACACGTTGTTTTTTTTTCTGTTCTTGTGCTACAATCAGAAACTTAAGTTACATCTCCGATATCTGAACCCTTGAAAAGGCCTATGGGTGTAAGTACATGTTACTGTAGAATCGATGTTGTTGTTCCATGCTGTCCTGTCAGATGTCTGGGCCATGCTCTTTTGCTAAGCTTCCGGAACAATACTTCACGTCACTATGTCCAAGGTTTAGGGCCGTGGTTTCCGACACCCTAAACCCTAAACCTCCACATGCCCTTCCTTCCTAGCAAAAGGCTCGCGGTCCGGAGTCGCTAGTTACCGCTAGTTCATTCGCTAAAACCATCAGAACCTCCCAGGCCCATGACCGTAGACGGCTTAGGATACTCATCGACCCCAAACCCTGAACCCTAAGCCCCCAAACCTTAAACCCTAAACCCTGAGAGCTGAATCCTAAACTCTGTGGGTCTGCCGTGTGCAGGTCTTAGCGGGCCAAGCTGACGCCTTGCCCTGCGATGGTTGAGGGTTTAGGGAATCCCAAACCCCAATGCCCTCAAACTTGGCTAAGACCTGGACGCTGAACCCCAGTACGGGGCCCAAACCGTGACACGGTAGGCTTGAAGTTCTGGAGTCGAAACCATGCAGCCCTGTTTCTATGCCCTATAGACGCTAGAAGCACAAGTTTCAAGCCATGTATCCACATGGTTTATACTTTGGCCCCAAAGTACCTATATATAGGGACTACTTTAAGGCCAAAGAAGAACTATTTGGGTACCAGGGCCAGGCCCAATACGGCCCAAAAGTGCTGTGGGCCCAACGGCCTTGAAGTTTGAGTCCCAATCTGTAGGGTTTACTTCTAAACTGAGATAAGGTCCTGAGCTAAAATCAACCTTGTAAAGCCTAAAAGCCCCAGAAGCCCTAATAACTAAACCGAACCTACGACCTTCTACCCGGCCCAATACCCCGGGAATCAAGGAAGATACCTTCAAGTAATGGGGCCTTAAAATAATGATTTACGATATATTCCTCACTTCCCAGTTGATGGCCCTAAACCCTAAACTCCTAAACCCTAAACCCTGAAAGCGCTAACCAGCCCAGTTGACGGGCCTCTTTCCCGGTTGATGGCCCTAAACCCGAAACCCTAAACTCTGAACCCGAAAAGCCCTAAACCCTGAACCCTGAACCCTAAACCCCTAAACCCTAAACCCCTAAACCCCTAAACCCTAAACCCTAAACCCTAAACCCTATAGGGAAAAGCACTAAACAGCTCAGTTGATGGGCCCTGAACCCTAAACCCTGAACCCGAAAAGCCCTAAACAGCCCAGTTGATGGGCCTCTTCGGTGACTTCGTGGTAATCCGCTCCCATGGCCTTGGCCGGCGTGTCTTCCTTCGAACCGGGGTGGCCTGGCTTAGGGTTTAGGGTTTAGGGTTTAGGGTTTAGGGTTTAGGGTTTAGGGTTTTGGGCCAGGTGGGTGTATCCCAGGTGGGTAGTTGTCAAAATTAGGATCCCTTTTTGGGTCCTTATTATGATACGGC